CCGCTGCTCAATTCATACGGATACGTTTTATGATCTCTTTATGAACTTTTTAAAGTGTCAAAGTGGTAGTTCTGTCTATGGAGGGACAGAAAGCTCTCGGATTTCATAAAGAATATCTTCATTTGTGTTCCGAAGATGAACGGAAGTCCGACGGGTTTGGAACGACATGAGAATGTAATGACAGGATTTTCATTTTTGGGTGAAATAAATTAATTAGGTATTACCTTTATATCATTACATTACCATGGTGCAGCCACAGCCCTTTTTTATATAAGGACTGAATTGAGCACAAAATGATTTATATATTATATTCTTTCAAATTTCAACCTATACATAGTATAAAAATAGCATAGTTCAGTCTCCAGATTCTGTGACTAAAATGCAACGTATACTCATAACATACATCAGACATAATGACTCGTATCTCTATTTATCTGTCTTGTGTGTGTGGTCATTCTGAAATGGCTCTGTTGTGCAGGATGGAGGACTATCACAGTGGATCACTCCACTTCTGTTATTGGTGCCTTATGGCGTCTCCTGTCTGTCTGCGGGGTGCTGTGAATCTACTGGCATTGAGCGAGAGATCGTGAAGCACATTGTGAAGGGCTATTATTACTAAGAGAGAAAGAGAGTGTCGGGAGAGGAAGAAGGAATGAAAAAGAGGCAGAGACAGAGATGCATATATATATATTTCATGACCTTCCCAGCATTCTTACTTTGATAGGTTTCATATTGCTAATCATTTCTTTTACAAGAATCTATTGCTAATTCATACCCGTTTTCCAGGTGGCATCCTTCTACTTCTAGCAGATGGAATTGCTGTAATAGAAATATAGGCTAAATGTTTCATTCAATACTGTCAAGATTTGTTAAAATTAGGGTAATAGGGGGTTTTCAGAGAGGCTTGTAATAGCGAGCTAGCTTTGAAAGCAGTCTCCAAAGCCACGACCCTCCTCCAAAACACATGAACACAGCAGAGAGCAAACAAAAGCGTCACGAGAGACGGCGTTAAACTACCTCATGTCTCAAAAGCACATAACATTACAATAATATGGAACATTAACAACTTAAAGAGCACTGACCTGTACCACCTGACTGCTGCAGTTCATTTCAGCGTTGATAGTGTTGCCATTGAAAATGCATAAATTCGAGTCACGAACCAAGTATAACGTCCATCTCTTCCTCATTACAGTAGTTATGGCGTGAACGCAACATAAGCTCTTGTTTTGGTTCAGGAGGAACTGTAAAATGTGGCTGCTGTTTGTTTGCGGTGCTCTGTGACTGACGTCTGTCTAACTCTGCACAGCATAAAATGTGCTGAAATGCGCTGATGTCGGCATGAGCAGGTACGCGGAGGTATGAAAATACATACGTTGACAGGCAGGTAGGACATCTTTCCGAGGGCAGCGATTGGACGAACATTTTACACCTTCCACAGACGATTTATATACATATAAATATGTTTAGACCACTTAAATTCGTCTGCTCTCACTATTCCTTAAAGGGATAGTACACCCACAAATTTAAAATTGGTCATAATTTACTCACCCTTACGTTGTTCCAAATTCAATTCAATTCACATTTATTTGTATAGCGCTTTTCACAATACACATCATTTCAAAGCAGCTTTATAGAAAATGCATGAGTCCACATTACAATTTAGAGTGATCTGTTATCAGTGGTAACTGTCTAAGTTATGTATTTCAGAAATCACAGTTAGAGAAAAAGGTATTAATTTAAACAATGTAAAGATTGAATACAAAAACAATGAGCTCATTGAAGTAATGAATACTTGTTTGTTAACAAATGATTATGACATTTAGAAAAATGTAGCATTGGTGCATGTTGATTCAGTGTTTACGTCATCTGAAGTCTTGGCGGGAGTTGGCGCCGTCTCTTCACAGGTGTTGGGCATCTGAAATCTTCCAAACCAGTATGAATCTTTTTCTTTTGCTGAACACAAAAGATGATATTTTGAAGAATATGGGTAACCAAACAGTTGATGTACCCCATTGACTTCCATAGTATGAAGAATATTTTCTGCCTGAAGAGACTTCAGAGAGATTCTTCTCATGAAGATCAATGAAAATTAGAGATGAACTGATTGCTGTATAGCATCATAATAATCAGTCTGTTCTCTGTGTGGCCTGTCTCTAATGATGGAGACAGATCTAAAGATGTTGGTTGCAGATGATGAGACACACCACGGCTCAGTACATTGTGTGACTTGTCCATCAGCAATAGATTAAAAACACTTTGAGGAATCCTTTATTTACTTAAAAAAAATTTTTTGGCATGAACAAATTCATTTGTATTAATTAGATTGTCTCGCTATGGGTGTTATAGGAGGTTTTCAGAGTGTTTCGATGCTAGTGTTGCTAAGATGCTATGAATGGTTGTTGACGCACTGCTGTGCGGTTATTATGGTGTTATGAGTGGTTGCCAGGGCATTGCGGTTGCTAAGATGTTCTATGTGGATGTTACCAAGTTACAATGCACTTACTAAGGGTTTTAGAGTAGCTGTTAGCATCTTGCTATGCAGTTTGCTAAAGTGTTCTGAGTAGTTGTTAGTTTTATGCTTTTTAGTTGAAAACGGTGCGAAAACTATGTGTAAAATTGCTTATAAAATGAATAATATACCAGAAGAAACATTACTCACCAAGTTTATTACTAAGTTTGTTTAAACTTCTATTTCTACGCATGGGCAACAGCAACTAATGCATTGTGTGCTTACCTTAGCTAACACCAATAAAAAGGGTTGGATGCTAGGCCTATATTAGAATCGAGGAGGTCTCTGCGGAACAAAATTGGTGTTTCTAAATTTGTGGGTGTTTTCACACTGGTGGGTGTTTATATTAGAATCACTGGGCCTTTTATTTTAGTTAGAATCTATATTTAGGCAGTTCAGCCTTGTGAAAATCTAAATGCTGTGAATAGAAACATCGCTATAGATTAATTGACTGCCTGCTTAGCGATGTTCCTCTACTAGTGATGTTCATCTCTTCTGAAACCATCTGTCACACAGAAGCACTTCCACTAATGGTACTAGTGGTCAGGTACTAGAGTTTTACAGAGCGCTGATGGTCGCGCAGATCTTATTCTCTCCTTTATGGCTCTCTGTATGAGGGGAAGCTCATATTAGCACTTAAATATTTATAATGCTTAGCTGGGAACAAAGAAGACCATGTAGAGTACATAGCTGCAGGCTCACAGCGGTACATTAGACCAATGAGAAGACTGAAGAGTTACTGAGGAAAACACTTTCAAATTGTTCCCGATGTGAAGCTGAAACATCTTCGAGAATACAAAGGGGTTTATTTTCCAATAATGTCTGAATGAGTGCAAATGAACCTGCTTATTACAAAGCTACTTTACTAAGGACCATAGTAAATAAATGTTAATTCATTATGTATTTGAACTCTATCATCACATGAGAAAAAGAGAGGGTGAAGTGATACAAGAGATATCGAAGTATAGCATTTTGGTTTCCATGGTAAATGGGCATATATTGTAAGGGATTGTACAGCTAACAGGTATCGTAATGAAGTAATGAAGATGTTTTAATTATAGCATTTAAAATGACTATTATTAACTTATTTTTTCTTACTATATTAACTCTGTTTTTTTGGGGGGGTTTTTATGAATCCCCATGGAAAAGTATAATATGGTATTATGAATACATCATCACTGTTGCTGTCTGGGTCATTGGGCATTAGGTGGTGATATCCCAGACATCTGGTACATGTGGATTCAACACGTACCAGATGTGGGCCGGATCCTGGCTGACACTATGTTGCTGTCTGATATGATTACACTGAGTGATTACCATATTCATGTGCCAAATAAATAAAAATCACTAAAAATAAATAAATAAATTAGGGCTGTGAGTTAAACGCGTTATTCACGGCGTTAACGCAAACCCATTTTAACGGCGTTAATTTTTTTTATCGCGCGATTAACGGTCTTTTTGGCCTAGCAAACTTTGTAGTTTTTTTTTCACATTCTTTTGCAACAGGACGCGGCATGCAACAACATTCATTTCAATGGCTTGCGCGGCGCGAGGACGTTTTGTTGCTTCATCGACCAAAGCGCAAGCGGATCTAGCTAGACCGGAAACAAAACTACAGGCACGATGCCGCACACACTTGTTTGGGCTTGCGAGCCGGCTAAATAGTTGGTTAACGTTACGTTTTGAGTGGGTGACGAGTGCGAGACGCCGAAATGGATGCCAATAAGATTCTGAATGGAAAGTTTACTTTTAAAAAGTTGCCAAATGGTTCCATTGACAAGACCAAGGTGATCTGTGTGTTTTGTCGTTGTGAACTGAGCTATCATCATCGCAGCACGTCCAGTCTGAAAAACCACTTGATGATGGCCAAGCACACACACACACACACACAGCTGATGCGAATTCTTCGCCCCCTCGTCGATATCAGGACCTCGTCAGTATTTCTTTCACCCTTTTATTGATGGACAGTGTTACATTGTGGGAGAGATTATTTGCTCCAAGTGAGAATGTTAGTGTGAAATTAAACACAGTATTGTCAATGTTGTTTTCAATAAAAAAACATTTGCACAAAGCAAGCCGATCCACTTTTCCATGTTGACAAGAGCATTAAAATTAGAAAAAATAATGGGACAAAAAGAAATCAAGAGACATTTAGAAGAGATAAAAATGTGTGATTACTTGCGATTAATCGCGAGTTAACTATGACATTAATGCGATTAATCGTGAGTTAACTATGACATTAATGCAATTAATCGCGATTAAATATTTTAATCGTTTGACAGCACTAAAATAAATAAATCACTCAACTATCTACATGGTACATCTAGGTACTTATATATGTCAGAAAACATTTATACAGTATATGTGTATAAAACTTTCTGTTAACACTTACATATCCAGGTCTAGATCATAATATTTGTCTTCATACAAGAAGGTACATTGAAGTGTGTGGTAATTTGTATGCTCTTGTTTTTTTTTTGTTTTTTTTCAGAGGAGGAATTGCGGAAGCTCAGAGAAGAAACCAATGTGGAGACCCTTAAGCAGGAGCTGGAGAGAGAACGCAGCAGAAGACTTGACCTGGAACAGAAGATGAGCGATGTGCTGAAGACCAGGTGAAAAAAACCCCCACACAAACACAAATGAACTTGTTACATAAAATGAGTTGACATAAAGTTTCAAACAATGGATGAGGAGCACAGGAGCCTGAGGCCACATATGCTCTATGCAAGTACTAGGGATTGGGAATAGAAAACTGCTTCTTATTTGGAATTAGTTCTATAGTTTGTGTAAACCGTGTTCAATGACCCGGTCCTGTACTCTGTCTGACTTCCTCTCTGTGGGGTTCCCTCGCCACAACCTGAGCTATTAAAATAGCCACTACATCTCACCCCCCATAACCCTAAAGTGGGAAGTCAATGTCTATACGTAGAGAGTCAGGCATAACAATATGTCAGTACAGTGTGTTCTTTCCACTGATGTCATTTCAATATGTAATTGATTCAGATGTGATTGGCGACACGTTAGGAAGAGAGGTTTCTGACCATTGACCTGCAAATATGTGTGGATGAGATTTTGACAAATCAAACGTTTTATATCATTTTAGCTTATACTAAAGTTCTCAAAATTGTGTGAGGCGGGAATGGCTGAACACAAAACAATTGAAACTTAAATAACCCTCTGGGGTCCTTCATTTCAGGGTCACACTCAGGGTCTTCGGGACCAAATGGTCCGGAAGGGTTTGATTCATATTTATTAAAAGAAAATCATATATATTTTTTTTTACTTGTTTTTTATAAAAAAATGTCTTTTATTTTTTGGTGTTTTGAGAAAATTTTATGATTTATAATTAATATTTATGCAATAATTATGACCCATTTTTTCCCATTGAATATAATATAATTTTTTTATAAATATGTTTTTTTTTTTTTTTTTTTTTTTAAAGCTGTATTTAATTTTAGAGTCAAGCCTAGGCCTCATGAAAACAAGTTTTGAAATGAGATGGATGCCATCTGCTGGACACACTGAGCATTTTTATCACGCAATAGCACATTTTTACCACTAGTGGATTTACAGCTCTCTGTAGAAAGGGTTCAGAATTCTTGTGAGTTTTGCACATCTTTGACAATTTTTTTCAGGTTGTTGATTTTAAAATATAATAACAGATTCTCAAAGACTATTTTTTGTCTTTTTTTTGTTTGTTTGTTTGGTTTAAATGGTAATTTGAACTGCCAGTTTTACTTTATAATACAGTCAAACCTGAACATTGCATTAGAAAGAGAACAAATGGAAAGCATTTTGTTACCCAATGTTTAATTCTAACTTATTTGATTCATTGATTTGATTTCACATATTTTCACATTTCTCTGTTACAGTTTCACATTACCCTATGTCTGTTTGTGTGTGTGAGTTTGTCTATTTTACAACCTTGATGGCTTACAGACTCATGCTTTCATTGCTGTGCACTTTATGTCTTACATTGATGAATAATTGCTTTTATTTCAGACATTTCCCAAAATTAGCTTTCATTTGTGTGTGTGTGTGAGTGTGTGTGTGTATGTGTGTGTGTCTGTTTTGCACTCTTGATGTTTTAGAGATTCACACCTTCACTGTTGAGTCCTTTTTTCTGCATCCTGGCTGATTTGTAGATTGTATGCAAAAAAAAAAAAACTCTGACAATTTCCCATTCATTTCCTATGGGGGTCATTTTTGACCAAAGAGCAGAAGTGTGACGACCACTTAGCATGCTTGGATCATGACCTCAATATTTTTTGTTTGTTCACATACCTAATACCATAAAAGTCACCTAGTTTCGTAACATTCCGATGAAGCTGTGATTTTTAAAAATTCAAAACATATTTATGTAATCTGAATTTATTAGTGTCTTTGTGTATAAAAGTGTGTGTGTGTATTAGTGTGTTTGTGTATAAAAGTGTGTGTGTGTGTGTGTGTGTGTGTGTGTGTGTGTGTGTGTGTGTGTGTGTGTGTGTGTGTGGATGTGTCTGTTTTGCACTCTTGATGTTTTATAGATTCCCCCCTTCACTGTTGTGTGCTTTTTTTCTGGATTGTGGCTGATTTGTTGATTGTACGCACAAAACAACTCTGTATTGTCACATTTTTGTCAATTTCCCATTCATTTCCTATGGCGGGTCCATTTGGACCCGAAGACCCTGAGTGTGACCATTTTTTTTACAACCACTTAGACTATTCAAATCCTGTCCCCAATTTTTTTGGGTGTTCATATACCAAGTACCAACAAAGTCACCAAATTTCGGACCATTCCGATGAAGCTATGATTTTACACATTTTTTTATTTAAATTCTTCGGGTCCATTTGGTCCGAAGAACCCCAGAGGGTTAATATATAAATATTAAATGTGTTTGCTTTTCGAAATATTAAAACCCTAATAGATTTCTAACTTCTTATCTGTACAATTCTTAAAATAACCAGAATATACCAAGTTTTATATAAACATTGCATCCTTATTTTTTCTAATTTGATTTAATTTAAATTTTATTTTTACACTGTTTTTTTGTGAATGTTGGCTTGTCATTGACCTTCATCGTATAATAATTTATATACTATTAGAGTGTTTATTCATATTTTGAATTTATTTTTATATTTTGAATTTTAATTTTAGGTTAAGTTTCATTTTATGTGCTTTTTATAAAAACTTTTGTTTAATGTTTCTATTTAGCTTTAATTTGATTTGATTTCAGCCAGTTTTAGTAGCTCAGCTTACACTTATTTTACTCTATTTCAGTTTTTAAGTATTTCATCTAAAATAAAAAATTCGATTTTATTTCAGCTTCATTTCAATAGTCAAAAATGATTTTTTTTTTCAGAGTTTTACTTTTGTTAATAAGGACAATTATTGCAGACTCCTTGACTCAAGTTGGTTAAAAGTCATTGCAAAAATAGCTCAGAAAAGTATGGTTAGGTCTATGAAAACATAATTTGTTTGCAGATGCCACTTGCTTTGACATTCTGACATTTTGACAATTTGACATGTGTCATAGAAGTACATATTTATAGTCATTTTTTTTTTTATGGAAGTTTTGTATGAACTGAAAGTTAATGTAGTTTGTGTTTCCTGGTGCAGGTGTGAAGATTCTCCACCTCAGCTTCCACGGAAACAGCAGCCACCTGCAGCTAATGGCACAGGTAACACAACCCACAATGTTATGACATTAAGCGTACGTTTACACGAGAACAATGTACTTAAAATGTAAACATGTTTTTTTCGTGTACAAACGGCAATAATACCTGTTCGAAAACATCTAAAAATTCATCCAGGCCAGTAGTTGGCGATATTACTTTGTAAAGTTAATAACTAATGATCGTTGCGACGGAAGTGAATCAATTAAAACTAACTTTAGCTGGAAAATAACTTCATTCTAGAGCTGTCATAAAGCCAAAACAATCTCTGTCACTTTAATTTCCTATTATCACTGTTAAGCAGCTTTGGAACAATCTAGATCGTTAAAAGCGCTATATAAATGAAGATGACTTGACTTGACTAAAGAATTTATGCGCCTATAGACTGAACATGTAATGTCACTGTTTTCGCAAATTCATGTTTTTGTAGTTTACATGGAGACTCTACAATTTAACATTGGACTTTGAAACCCGTTTTCAAAAAAAATATATAAAAGTTGTTAAATCTAATAAATCTTGTTTTACGCTTTCTGCGTTTTTTTTTTTTGTCATGTATGACTATTGTACATCTCTTGTCATACATAATATGGTAAATGTAGTATCCTAATTATTAAAGTCCCCTTGTAGTCAATAATTTTTTCCCTTAAAACTCATCTTTGATCACCAAAATGACCTATATAAAAAAAAGTACACCCTTGCCTCATTTAGTATACGCCGTTCTATGAATATTCAAATTAGCCCCGCCTCCACTCACTCACACTCAGCTCAGAGATCCACTCGTTGACGATCACTCGTTGACGTGATTGGTTACAAGGTAGTTTGTGACATCAGAAACTCCAGCGATTTCAAACCGCGTTTTGGTTTCTGAAATCTCTGCTCCAGGAAGCTTTCAGCTGTTATTTTAGGCACTTGTCTAAATTTGTAGACCAACTAGGCCAGATCGACCGCTTTTGTTTGAGGGAGGAAATGAGAATGTAGAGCACAAGCTCCCTGACTCTCAGGATTCAGATTAATAGAGCTTTGTTTGTGGCCTCTGAATGAAGTATATCTCTAAACTCTCACTGTAGACAAACAGCAGAAGGAGACGGTGTGTTCGCGGCTGCAGAGTTGGCTGTATGATCGGTTTGGGGTTTACATCGAGGATTTTCGCTTCCAGCCTGAGGAGAACACAGTTGAGGCTGAGGAGCCACTAAGTGCTAAAAGGTCAGTGAAGAAATATCACCTGTGGAACATTATATTACTCTTTACAGGTTTGGAAGAAGTGTTCATCATACCTGCCAACTTTTGAGTTTTGCTCGGCGTGAGATTTGTTGACGGGGGGGTAGAGACGAGTGAGATTTGTTGACTGGGGGGGGGGGGCTTGGGGGGGGGTGGTAGAGACGAGTGAGATTTGTTGACGGAGGGGGGGGGGCGGTCTCGCTCGCGCAAGGTCTCTCGCTCGCTCTACGCGGTTTGGAGCACAATCTCTGTCTCGCATGCACGTTCGCTCTAGATAACGGGAGATTTTTAACGAATTTGCGGTATAACTAGTCGATCACGAGTGGCTCAACAGGTAGATATATAGATAAACTCATCTTACAGGCATTTGACCGCCCGGGTTGACACTTCAGCGTGAGAAATCGGGAGTGTGGCGTGTGAGCGTGTGAAACCAATCAAATGCGGGTGTCTCACGGCCAATGCGTGAGAGTTGGCAGCTATGTGTTCATTCTTGTGAAACTAAAATATTCTGCTCTGTTATCATTTCCCATAGTTCTTCTTTCTCTGTCCGGTAACGTTTTATTGTAAACATCTGCCCCCCTGTGGTCAGGATGCTTTTAGTCAGAATAGGCCAAGTATAGTGGCAAAGAGGAGATCCATCAACTGACATAAAATTAAACTTTTACTTTCAAAATTTTAAAAATAAAAGTTTTCTAACACATGTTCTCCTCTGATTCTATCAAATTATGTACTTATCAAAGGGTTAGTGTTAGGTTTTACCATGCCAATGCTTGGTCGTCTAATCTTTGGTGGTCCAGTTCTTCAAAATTTGGCCCAATTTTGAAGAGCTGGTCTCCTTTTTCTTATACTGTAATTATAATTAGAGCTTAACTCATTTTTGAACCTGTTTTGTGCTAATAATTTGTTGCAATTAAAAACAATACAGTCTAGTCTGCTTGTAAAGGTTTTTGAGGTTTTTATGTTTGGGGGTTGTTGGTTTACGTCTTTTATTTTTAATAACCAAGACAGTTATGATGAGTTTTCAAAATAAAAGACAAATACATAGCAAAACCTCTTCACAAAACCCTTACAAACATGCTGTGTACAGCCTTGTTACTGGAATTTTCCATGTATATACGCTGAACTGAAACTAGTGAAGCAGGACTCAACAAGTTACAATTATAATAATAAATATAGCTGCGAGCAATTATCGGGGTTCATGACCTTTATGACATGGGTGCTGATGGGGTCTAGGCTGACTCAAAATTTAGGGATTGGTCCTCTGCTGCCATCTAGTGGTTAGAGTGGCAATTACAGGGAATTTCCCATTATAATCATAGGAACATTGTCATTCTTCATCTTTTTAACTGTTATAGAAGCACCTATTGCCAGATCTGCATGCTTGATATGTCACACGTGCTCACCTATTTTCATGAAGTTCTGAGTTTACAATTAGGAGTTATAGGCGTTTGCGTGCACTTGGCCACACCCATTTTCTTAATTACCTTGTTATAGCTAACCAAAGGGTAAAGGTTTTTTTTTTGAACCCTTAATACGAAGAAGAATCCAGTTTGTTCAGAACTTCAAAATTTTTAGAGCTTCCTCACTTTTTAATCCACTTGGTTTATATCATACAGACAGTTATTTCGAAACCACCTGAGAATCTGTGAGGTTTTGTGGTTTGTGGAGTTCTGGATCTGATGTCCAGTCAATGCATGTACCTGCGTCAATTATACATGAGGCTATTGAGTCCATGTCCCCTCAGGGATCAATGGAGTACATCTATCTGTCTCTGAAGAGAGGTATTGAGTGTGTGCTGCCCACATCTGTCTGCTTTCATTGATTTACACAGTTTAAGTGTCACTTTGCTATAAAAATACAAGACAGGCTGTGGTTGGTGGAAGAAATTAGTGATGTTAGCTGAAGGCAAGGTAACTTGTCCCCCGCTGTGTGTGCCATTGATATGAATGATATCTCAAACTGTGTCTGAATTAAACTGCTTTTTTTTTTTCAGATTAACTGAAAATATGCGACGACTTAGTAAGTCTATTTTTGCCGTTGTTTTTGTTGATGTACTTCATAGTTTCACAAAAAGCTCTTTTGCTTAGACTTTTCAGCTTTACTTGTTTATCTTTTTATTTTATTTTTCTAGAACGGGGTGCCAGACCGGTAACAAATTTCTTACGGAATCTTTCCGCCTTATCCAACTGGCACTCAGTATATACGTCAGCAATTGCCTTCATCGTGAGTGGCCTTCATCAGTTTTCTATGTTTACAGTTACACATATATACTGTACATATTACACATATACATTTATTTTAGACACAAATAAGTTACGGTAACGCTTTATTTTACAGTGTCCTTGTTACATAGTAATAACAGTAAATTATGCATAATTACATGCAACTAACCCCTGAACCAAACTCTAATCCTACCCTAACCCTATAGTAAGTACATGTAGTTGCTTAATATTACTCAGTACTTAAATATATAATCACACTGTTACAATGACACCTTAAAATAAAGTGTAACCCTTTATTTTAAGGTGTCCTTGCTACAGTGTAATTATACATTTAAGTACTGAGGAATATTAATTAACATGTACTTACTATAAGGTTATGGTTAAGATTAGTGTTTGTTTTAGGGTTAGTTGCATGTAATTAATTATGCATATTTACTGGTATTACTATGGTAAGTACATGCAACATGTAACAAAGAAACTAAGTTTGCTCTATTTAGTAATAACTGTAAATTATGCATAATTACATGCAACTAATTCTAAACCAACCCCTATTCCTAACCCTATAGTAAGTACATGTAGTCCATTCATATTTCTCAGTACTTAAATATATAATTACAGTGTTACAGGGACACCTTATAATTAAGTATAACTGAAATTAAAATAAAGTGTTACCAAATGTTTTACTTACAAAATCTTTACTTGCTCATTAAATTGCTCATCAAGGGGACAGCCATGTAATGTGTGTTGTGTTTTTGTCACAGATTTATATGAATGCAGCATGGCATGGCTGGGCTATTCCTTTGTTTCTATTCTTAGCCATTCTGAGGTTGTCGTTGAACTACCTCATCGCCAGGTAAAACGTTTGCTTTTTCACTAGAATGGCTTTGAAAGGTTTAGGGTTCAATTAAAAATGTTACCTAGATTTAACTTAAATTTATATGTTGTTGTGTATTGGCTGAAATTGCCAATTGTAAGAATTTCTATACTACCAAAAGATCAGTAGTCAACTTGGGCCTCGTGTCAGCATATTTGTGCACTCAGGCAGTCATTATCACTGTACATGTACTGCACATGCAGTCACTGTATATTAATAAACATACATACAGTATACGTGTATGTATACAGTGCTGGTCAGAATTATTTGCCCCCTTGGTAAATATGATCAAAGATGACTGTAGAAAATAAATCTGCATTGTTAATCCTTTAGATTTTTACTCATTTTTTTTTAAATAAATTAAAAAAAAAAAAGTAAAAATCTAACCTTTTAACAAACGAGGTTGCAAAAAGTATTTAATAAAAGGGGGTAAATAATTGTTCCCAACGTGTTTTGGAGAAAAACATTTTTTTCATAATGTGATTTTCCCCCCACTTTCAATTATTTTACTTCAATAAAAGGTTAGATTTTTGCTCTTTTTTTTAAAATATATATATCAAAAGGATAAACAATGCAGATTTATTTTCTTACAGCCATCTTTGATCATATTTACCAAGGGGGCAAATAATTCTGACCAGCACTGTATATACGTGTTCATGTAACGCAAACAAATCGATTTAATGTTGTTGTTTTTTCTATAGAGGATGGAGAATTCAGTGGAGTATTGTGCCTGAAGTTTCTGAACCTGTGGTAGGAATGTTTTTTTCCAGGGTGTATGTTTGCATGTCAGTGACTTTTATTTTTATATTGGGCATATTAAAATTTTCTTCCTTGTGTTTTTTTTTTCTTCTTTTAGGAACCTCCAAAAGAAGACCTGACTGTGTCTGAAAAGTTTCAGTTAGTTCTCGACGTCGCACAAAAAGCACAGGTATCCACTTTACAGGCTGGTACACATGAACGCTTTTATTTTGTACATTTTCATTTAACAATTAAAGCTGTCCATAGCATTTATATTATTGGTCAAAAGTTTGGACACACTCCTAATCTCGAAATCTTTTTGATCAGAAGGCTTCTTTTATGTATACATTTATTTACAAAACAATAAATAAAATAAAAAAAATTGTATATGAGTGAGTTTGTAATAGTGATTGTGAAGGAAAAGCAGCCAATAGTTGTTAAGCATAGATGGAAATTACTGTAAAATGGTTTATTTCATAGTTTTTGAGGACTTTTATTCTATAATGTGAAATTGTCTTATGAAATTGTGATTTGAAATTTTATGGACATGTCTCTCAAATTTCATGTCGTGTGTATTTTTCTGCAGAATCTTTTTGGTAAGATGTCAGATGTTTTGGAGAAAATCAAAAAGTAAGTAGCTCTTTGACTTTTATTGTAGGACTACGGGCTCCTTAAAGGGACATGGTAATGGAAACATATAAGATGGCTGAAAACATTATCAATGTGCTTTTGCGTTCCCTTGCAAAACTTTTAGCGTTTTCCCTAAAAACTTCACAAACAAATGTGAAATTCTTCCATAATATTTCAAGGGTATTGTGAGTTTCACAGGTGAACGCAAAAACTCTGTACAGGGAAAGTGAAAATGAGCTCATGACCTGAAGGAAATTAATGAATGTTTCTCCATGTTTGTATGTGTTTGTGTACATCAGTTTGTTTATGTGGGTTCAGCCTGAGATCACTCAGAAGTTGTACATCGCTCTGTGGGTGGCCTTCATCTCCTCCTGCGTCCTGCCATACAAGCTGATGGGCTTTATGATCGGTGAGAATCAGTATTCATAACCCCACATATGTACATAAACACCCCATACACACTAATAACACTGCCATTCTGAATGGCTCAGTGTTGCTTTCATGTGAAACACAGACATGTCTCTTGTGCAACAGCATATTTAAAGTCCCCCCGTAGTCATTTTATCCCTTAAAACTCACATTTGATCACAAAAATGACACATTTAAGCGTTTTTTCCTTGAAAACAAAAATAGTCATGCCTTAAAATATCTTGAATGTAACTCTACACCCTTGCCTCATTTAGTCTACACGGTAGACGACTTAAATAATGGCTGCTGAAAATGTAGCTTTTCCATCACAACTGTTTCCTATTTTAATATAGTTTATAATTATTTTAAATTATAACCATTTTTTCCCACAATATTAGTTCTTTTATTGTATTTTTGATCAAATAAAAGGAAGCCTTATAAGAAATACCCTTTAAAAACATTAAATAATCTCACAGACTTTTGAATGGTAGAGTACATTTATACATATATAAATACATTTTAATTTTTCTTTTTGTCCATTATATTTAGTACAGACGAGCATTCTGTGAAATTACGTGTGTTTTCACCTTGTTCCATTCAATTAAAGTTAATTTGATTCAAAAGAATGAACTAAATCTTGCAAAATAGAAGTTTTTGTGCTGAAATGCAGTTGTTTTTTTCTCATTCTCACGGTGTGTGTATGTGTCTCCCCTGGTAGGGCTTTACGCAGGCATCAAGTTCTTTATTATAGACTTCCTTTTTAAGAGCTGCCCGAAACTCCGAGACAAATACGACACTCCGTTCATCATGTGGAACAACCTGCCCACGGACCCTCAGCTGAAAGAGCGCAGCAATGCCACTGTGTCTCGACGGGTGAGACCGAAAGAGACAATGTCATACTCGTACCTGGTTGTTTTTCACATTTAAAATGTCATACCTATTTGAAACATTTTTTTTCAGAGTGTCAGGCACTGTAAATATGTGCGTATGAGAGTGATGGGTGTTGCCTCGTAAGGGAATCATCATCAGTATAGAGTCACTGACATGACGATCACATATAATCTGTTGTCTTTCTCTCTCAGCTGTCTGGGTGTGAGAAGGTAGGGACTGTGGTGTGCTTCTACGAGCACCTGTGTGTGTGTGTGTGTGTGTGTGTGTGTGATCAAACCAGCTGACCTTACTTTCTTTACCTGTGTGTGTTTGGATCTAGATGCACCTTGTGATATGAATTTTTGTCTGTGGCCAAATGGATCAAAATGGCCACTTAGTCTCAGTGGCCCAATTACCTTAATCTCAACTAACTTAACTCTTATTTCACAGAGAAATGTTCAGGTCATATTTCACCACAAAATCAAAAGAAAAAAAAAATATATAGATATATATATTTTTTTAGGACCAGGCTTTTATTTAATTTATTTCATATTTAGTTCACGCTATTGTAAAAAAAAAAAAAAAAACTATTCTTTTTATTGTAATGCCAAAATGCAGAGTCCCTATTGGTGGTGTGAAAAAATGAGATGGGGGGGGGGGGGGGGGGGGAACATAATTATTTTCCCCATTATCATGGCTCTGTACTATGGAAGCTTGTTTCCGCCACAGAATAAAACATTTTAAAAGATAATTGCAACTTTTTATCTCACAATTGCGTGTTTACATCTGGGAATTCAGACTTTATTTCTTACAATTGCGAGATATAAAGTCAGAATTGCGTGTTATATAACGCCATAATTGTGAGATATAAACTTGCCATTCTGACTTTTTTTCTCACAATTGCGAGTTTATATCTCGCAATTCTGACTTTATAACACGCAATTGCGACTTTATATCTCGCAATTCTGACATCTTTTCTCAGAATTGTGAGATATAAAGTCGCAATTACGTGTTATAAAGTCAAACTCTAAGGAAAAAAGGACTGACTTTTCCTTTGCGAGATATAAACATGCAATTTAGAGAGAAAAAAAGAGTCACAATTGTAAGATAAAAAGTCGCAAAAACCTTTTCAATTGTTTTATTCTGTGGCGGAAACAAGCTTCTATACTGTACATTACCCTAATCCTTAAAAACAAATTCTCTAACTACAATAAAAAAAGTAATTCTCATTACTCTAATGTGATAGAATCACATTCTAATCACTATAATGAAAAAATCCTGTTCTCATTACTATAACAAAAGCATTCTCATTAGTGTCATGCAAAAAGATTATATAATCTTTTGTGTTACAGTAATAGGAATGAGATTTTTGTTTGCCTTATGGTAATGAGAATGTGTCATTTATTGTCATGAAAGTTATGTCACAATGCAAATCTTAACGGTCTTAAAAATAGTCTATTTTCTTCATCCAAAATATAATTATGTGGTGTAATATCAGATGGGCATTTCTTGCTCTCTGCAGAATTGGCTCTTTATTTAAAATCTGATATAAAATACCATTGACTGATCTACTGAAAGTATTTAATATTAATGATTTTGCTTGATGTAATCTAATGTAGCTATTGCATATTAATGTAATGTTTACAGCTAATGTGCCATTTTGAATCCATTTTCACAGGCTATTTGATGGGTTTGCTCTGTGTGTGTGTGTGTGTGCATAGATAGAAAAGGATTGCTTTGAGTAGTTTCCACCAGTGTTATTTTAGTATCAGGGAGATACTATTATATTGTTTTTGTTAACAGTTTGAATTATTAATATTATTAGTTATATTAGTCTTAGTAATCTTGTGCGTTTTTGTCATTTTTATTATTTTTTTATGTCTATATCATTTTTTTGCTTCGGTTTTAGTTATTTAAACTAAATGAAAATGAGAAATGTTTCCTTGGAAACTAGCTGAAATACAATTTAATTGTATTCGTTATATACTATTTTATTTGATGTCTGTATATTTTTTTCATGGTTTTAGTCAACTACACTAACACTGGTTTACACATCAATGTGTAGTTTGGGTTCTTAGAAGTAGATCATTAGATCATTAGAGGTAGAAATAGTTGAATGTTTGCCTTTAGGACAATGAAATTAAGTATTTTGACTGTGTTGTTGGGAATCTGTACAGAGAACATACTACGTGTCCTTGAGAATGAGCTCAATGGCGGTTGCTAACATTAAAGGTGCTCTATGTAACTTTTAGCGGCCTCTAGTGGTGATGTTTCAGATTGCAACCAAATTTCGCTCGTGCTCGAACTCATAGACAATACCGTCTATTACGCAAATATCTCGGCGAATACTAGACGGATTCGGCGAGCACCGAGCTCGTTGGGACCATCTAGTCGAGCTGAAAAGAACCATTTACAAGTTCCGTAGTTTTTGGTGGTGTTTTCGCGGAGATATTAGCAGAAAACAATCGGGCGCGCTGCAAAATTGCGGACGCCGGTGACGTCACGATCTCAGAAGAAAATCGCTCGTATCTCTGGAACGCAAAGACCCAGAGAGCTCAAATTCGGGGGAGGAGGTCCCAGGGGAACCCTTGCCCGAACGCTAGAGTGGCGGGCCTCGGGGATGCCCCCTACCGGATCGCCGTTCGCTGGGACCCCCGATTTCGAACGGCTATAACTCGGGGAGCCGGGCGAGTTGGACCTCGGGGGTGGGCTCGTTCGAAAGGCCCCGTCCAGCACTACGAACGATTAGAGTCTTGGGAATATTGATCAAAGATTGACTGAGATATAAGCCGAAAAACGTGCGCCTTTAACCGGACGTAACTCCCTGACCGTCTACTGTATATAAGGAGAGAGGCTCGGGAGCGCACATGCACATCACATCCGTTGGATTTCGCGGTAAATCCGACCCGGAGACTTCACATAGAAATAGGAATACTGGCCTTCAGAGGTAATAGCAAAACTCAACAAGTGGATCATTTTAATGTGTGATTACAACCCCTTCACACACAGGCAATAAAAAAAGGATTCATTTTAGTAGAAAAGTTACATAGAGCACCTTTAATAATAATAATAATAATAATAATAATGCGTTACATTTATATAGTGCTTTTATAGGTACTCAAAGCGCTTTTACATATGGAAGGGGGAATCTCCTCAACCACCACCAATGCCTTTACCTTTACCACAACCATTACCTTTAACCTTCTCTCAAAACTTCATTACACTGACTTCCTTACACCCACATGAACTCATTTCATGTTGACTTTCGCTGCGTTCACGCCATGTCGTAATTACGAGATGACAACACATGACTTCCCACTCGGAGTTGTCCTCGGACTCGGAATTGTGTTTCTATGGCAACACTATCAATCTGCAAATCGGAGCTCTCAGAAAAATCCTAGTTTACAAATTGCAATTATGAGTTCTACGAGGACGTGAACACTTTTTGCAAGTCGTAATCTCATAATTACGGTAATTACGACATGCCGTGAACGCACTTTGTATTGTTTTGAGCTTAAAGTCAACATGAAATCAAAATGAAACCTGTTTTCTTCCCTAATACATATTAAAAGTGAGGCATAATTCACGGCTAGCTGTGTATTAAACCATTTTAATACACGGCATGGAGGCAAAGAACCACCCGACGCGAAGGGAAGCATTCAAATCGTTTAATACACTGCTAGCCGTTAATTATTCCACTTATACCATGGTCATTTGCCAGAATTGACAAGTTAAAGCTGTCATTGATGTTTGCAGCGCTAAATTTGACTGGAAGGGTTAAAATGGTGGTTAATTTCGTCAGCTACGGCTCCTTAGATATAGCATTCTGTCCGCTTTAAATCTGACACAGAGATAAAGTAGTGCGGCAAGGTTCAAATTATTTGATTGAATGATAGTATTTATTTGAATTAATTTGCCTATTAATAAGAGAGAGAGAGAGAGAGAGAGAGAGAGAGAGAGAGAGAGAGAGAGAGAGAGAGAGAGAGAGAGAGAGAGAGAGAGAGAGAGAGAGAGAGAGAGAGAGAGAGAGAGAGAGAAAGAGAGATGCGTGGCTGTGCAGAGTCTCTCTACTAGCAATGAAGCTGTGAGTTGAATTACTTCAAAAACAGCGACGTTTACAACCTCCTTGCTGAGTAATATAATGTAGTGATTCAGTAGCGAAGGTTAATTACTAATAAAAGTTACGGGATAGCGTTGATAATAAGCGCAATAGTACAGCGCAATCTCTGATTTCTGTGTGCGAGTCAGTGACATCCCAGACAGCAACATAGTGTCGGCCCAGATCCGTGCCACATCTTGTACATGTGGATTCAACGCGTACCGGATGTGGGCCGGATCTGGGCCGACACTATGATGCTGTCTGGGATACATGTGTGTACGTGTGCTTCAATAAAAAGCAGCGCATTGATATAGAATGGTGATTAAACTGACACGGCACTATCTGTGCATTAAACGGTTTTACTGCACACCTTCCAGCCAATCAGAATTGAGTATTCAAGCAAACCATGGTATAATTGCTATTGTGAGTGATTGATTAGTGCATGTTTTTCCAGAAGAGAGAAAAAAATTGTTCACCCCCTCAAACACCTATCCTTTATAAATATAAATATCATAAATACCAGAAATATGTCACAATATGTAAGTAAAATGTTTTTTTTTAATTTTTTTTTTTATATATAATAGCTAAAAGTATTAGTTAATGCAAGCTATTTATTTGAGTTGTTACAAAACCCCTCTCTTTTATGTTAAGATTCAGCCAGTGGTCTCACGGAGCAGTTTAGCCACCGTCCCAGCCGGAGTGACCCGAGAGGAAGAGCCTGGCCGTTCACACAACACAAAGAAAGGAGCATTCCATGAGATCTTCAACCTACCCGAGAATGAGAGACCTCTGCCGGGTGAGACCTCTCGTAGACTTGGTTCTTGTCTTATGAGACTCCGCATCCTGAAAAAAAAAAAAGTACTTGAAACCTAAATTGACAAAACCAAAACAGGCTTGAGTTGGACATGCCAAACAGATTTTAATTTGTCCACTTGTGTACAACCAAGTGATTTAGTAGTGGGTTTTTTTGTGTTTTTTTTCAGTGTGTGAGAATGGATGGAGATGCTGTCTGATAAACAGAGACAGGAAGATGCCCACTGACTACATTCGCAACGGGATGCTCTACGTCACTGAGAAGTAAGACACATTTGGTCAGTGGTGTTGGGGAAAGTTATTAGTTGCTTATTTGTAGAGTTGGATTGGATCATCGAAGGTCAGCAGCAAAAGACATTGGTTAATAAAGTGAGATTAAATACATAAAGTATATTTGTATTATTTAACATGTTTAATTATTGCAGGTTTGCCTAATATTCTGAGTTTGCATTTCAATGTTTCTATTCATTTTGAGGAATACTGAATGTTTTTGTGCAAGTGAAATGAGTAAATTCAAGCTCACATTTAGTCTAGAACTACAATAACCATCATGTTCACACACACACACACACAGGCCTCTGCCCTTCTCTCAACATGGGGAGAGGAGAGCTGTCAGTCAATACATGAAAATCAAAGTAACTTGCGTTACTCATTTAAAAAAAAGTAACTGGAATTTTGTTGCAAATTTAAAAGTAATGTGTTACTTGAAAAAAGTAATCTGATTACATTCGTAACTGCATTACTTGTAATGCTTTACCGCCAACAACTGTTGCTTAGTATCTGATTGCTGAGCACAGCAATATTCTTCTAATATAGAAGAATTCAATATTCTTCTATTCTTGAGAGGCACCATAGAATCAACATGTACATTAATGCAGTAACATTATAATTACAAATGGCTGTCCATCCATCAGCTACCTGTGTTTTGAGAGCTCCAGCTCAAGATCGGGGTCTTCAAAGAAGAACAAAGTCATTAAACTGGTGGACATCACAGATATCCAGAAGGTATGTGCACAGTGTTATTTCTAACTATAAAGTCATTGAAATCAAGCTGAAACAAAGTAAAATATAAATATTACATGAAAAAACTTACTATTAGAAATGTTGCCTTGGCAGCTAACTGAAATAAATGAGACTATTTCAGCTTTTGTTAATAAACTTAATGGATCTTTGACTATTTATGCTTCATGCACTTTCTTGAAAGTGATGTGCACTATGAACTTTGCATCACACAGCAGTGGGTGGCAGCAATCCATCACTGGCTGCACATGAAAACTGCATTTTCATTTAAGTATTTGTGGAATTATTTCAAAATTACTAAAAGCAATTTCAGATTTTCTAAATTGTAATGTCACACAACTATCATGCAATTGTAATTATTATAAAAATTGATTTGCAAATATTCCGATTTATTTTGCAATCAGAACAAAAAACGTAAGACTCAAGTTATTTACACACATTTTCTCATACCTTCAATGGATAGTTCGCCAAAAAATTTAAATTATTATAATTAAAAATCGGGGCAAAAGTGGTGTAGTGTATAACACTGAACAATGGCAAACTCAAATTTGAATTCTGCAATTTCCATGATGAAGAAGTTTATACGAATGAACACGTCTGATGCAGAGCTGGTTACTAGATTTGACAAAGTTTGTAAGGTTTACCACATCAGATTTTCAAAACGTATTCAGTTCTTTAAGTGAAATTTTAGTGGAATGAAAAAATGATTGGATTGTAGGAAGTTGGGCATTGCTAACTAAATGGAGACCGTTCTGAATGGTAGTTTGCAGTCAGTTGTGAAGGGATATTTAGTCTAAAATGTATGTAGTCTACGCCGAAACACACAACATGATGAGAACAGACGACGTTTCGAGGGGGAGGGGAGGTTAACTGTTTGTTTTTTCTCAGAGTTTAAAAGAAATTAGTTTGTTGTTGTTGGTCACATGTCATTCAGACAATCGTTTTCTTGAGTAACTTAATGGTTCAAAGCTGCAAAGTGGAACCAAAGTGAGCTATACTCTATTCATTATCCTTTTTTTCCCCCCATAGTAGAACATTTTGAGGAATTCCCAGACAGCAACATAGTGTCGGCCCAAATCCGGCCCACATCTGGTACACGTGGAATCCACATACCAAATTATGTCCTGGATCTGGGCCGGCACTATGTTGCTGTCTGGGTTGTTACCATTATCATGGTTAATGTTGATTGCAAATCGCTTACTGTTACAATAACACTTTCTTTTCTTTTTTTCACAGTATAAAGTTTTATCAGTTCTGCCTGGGTCTGGAATGGGCATTTCTATTGCCACACCGTCAACACAGAAGGTAGTCAAGTCAAATATATGTGTATAGCGCTTCACAATACACATTGTTTCAAAGCAGAAAATCATGATGCTAATATTTATAATATCTTAATACCTTAGAGCCGTATTTAGCAGATTAGAGCTGGGCGATAATAGTTAAAATTTTGCAATGGTACAAGCAATCAAACAGTTGAGATTTGCTTATATATCCTACTTTATTTAAAGAGCTGGATGATAATATAGTTGAATTTTGTGACGATATAAACAATCACGCAGTTGCGAGTTGGATATACCTTAAATACGTCCTGCTTAACTCTTTCCCCGCCAAAAAAAAAAGGTTGCCAGCCACCAGCATTTTTTTTTTTTAGCATTTTCACAAAATGTTCATGGCCCCCAGAATATTTTATTGTATAAATATCTGAACGTGCAAAAGAATAGAGCCTCTGCTTTTAAACAAACAAACACGTTTTATTCTACCTTCCATATGCATCCTTATGCATTCTTTTTTTTTCCTCCGATTTATAAAGTCCAATTCTAAGGAAAAAAAGTCTGACTTTTTTTCTCGCAATTGCGAATTTATATCTCACAATTCTGACTTAACACACAACTGCGACTTTATATCACGCAATTCTGACTTTATAACTCGCAATTACGACTTTATATCACGCAATTCTGACTTTATAACACGCAATTCTGACTTTATAACTCGCAATTACGACTTTATATCACGCAATTCTGACTTTATAACACGCAATTCTGACTTTATAACTCGCAAATACGACTTTATATCACGCAATTGTGAGAAAAAAATTCTGAACTGTGAGATAAAAAGTCGCAATTACCTTTTTATTTTATTTTTATTCTGTGGCGGAAACAAGCTTCCATACATGTGCTATCGCTTGTTTCTGCTTCTTCTTCTTCACATGTCTTTTGATCAGGAGATTCAGTACTCTTTCAGAAGATGCGTAATAGCGCCCCCTACCGCATAACAGTGAAAACACGGAAAGCTAGAAATTTCCGTCAATGGCGGAATAAGAGTTAAAAGCCATTTAATGTCTTTTTTTTACAGCGACATCACCCTCATTGAAATAATAAAAGTGTCTGTCTTGTTGCTTTGATGAATAATTGAGTAAAGTCTGACAGTGAATCGTTTTATCTTGTTCTCGCAGCCACTGGTCTTTGGTGCCATGATACACAGAGACGAGGCCTTTGAGACGATCTTTACCCAGTACATGAAGATCATGACCACAGCCAACCCTGAGACATAACTCAACCTTTTATCCTTTCTGGAGGATATCTCGTTTGGAAAAAAAAACAAGTATGGGACCAGCATTTCCTGTCTGGTTAACTTTAATTGACCGTCATTCGGATGATTGTAGGCTTGAGACGTGACCAGCGGGAGATTTTAGCGAGCTGACATTCCAGCGAGAGAGTTCTGCATCTCAAAGAAAGAGACTTTTCCCCAACCGGAGGGATGCGGGCCGGCTTCTCGTCATGCGACTGTGACCTTTTTTTTTTTCGGCTTTCAAAAGATGAGCACACTGATCCGACTTTTCGTGTTTTGTACTCATCTGTCAAGGATTCAGATTTCATGTCTGGTTTTTAACCTGGAAGATGTTAATTGCGTAAACACTGCAAGAATTCATTTTCTCAATCAGTATTTTTGTTTAAAACTTAATTCAAGATATGTGTCTTGTTTTCTTACACAAATTTGCTTCACAAGTAAATTTGTCTTTTAACTAAATTTAGATATTTTGTACTGGAAAACAAGACAAAAATACTGATAAATATGAAAAAGAAAAAAAAAGTGTATTCACACTTTAGGCGTTTTGCAGCAACAAATCGACAGGAAGTCATTCATTTGTAATGCGAGTTGGCGAATTAAGGCGCCGTACAGGTAGTTGATATGTCTTGTGCACTATATTCATTGCATCTTTCAAATCTCAAAAAGATGACTTTTTATTTTTAAAAGTTATGAGGCTGGTAATAGTTCAACTTTGCTCACTTTGGCAACAGCCGCTGTTGCTCGAGTTGCTAGAAATCGACAGCTTTCATTGAAAATGACTTGTGGTTGCTTTGTCACTGCAAATCACTGTCAGTGCAAATGACCTTTCAGACTGATACAAAAAAAAAAAACGCCTTTATTTTTTACATTTGTTTACATTGTTGCTGTGTGCGCACAACACAGTCGCACTCAAACTCACTTAAATCTCACCTCTCAGCAAAGTGTGCTTCATGTCTTTTTAGCAGAACATTTTCCCAAACTTAACTTTGGGGAAAGTGTAGTTTCGAAATGGTTTCAAATGGCCTTTCTTCAAAATGGTTGTAATGTCGTAGCTAATCGATTGGTTTGCTTACGCTTGAAAACGCTAGTTAGAAATGAAAGGTGTCAAACGTCGCACTTTATTTTTCAGTATGTGTACTAACCGTGTACTCATACAAGAAAGGACTGAGTAATATAAGGCAACTGCTTGGATTTAATATTAAGGTTAAGTTTAGTACTAGAACAGGACTGTCAAATAAAGTGCTATCGGATTTTTTACCAAGTATTTCATGTATTTATGTCTTACAGATGAACACCGGTTACTTGTTAACGTTTTGTCACTTTAAACCGTTACTAAATGAAGTTAAATTCAGATTTACAGCAAAGTAGATGTTCACAGAACCTGTTCATAAAGCGACTATAGTATAAGTCTTTGGGTGAATCTCACAAAAAAAAAATTCCGATCATATTTCACCTCAAAATAAAAAAATATAACGTGTCAATGAAAATAATGTATAAAATAATATATATGTGTGTGTGTATGCATTTGTATATATATATATATATATATATATATATATATATATATATATATATATATATATATATATGTGTGTGTGTGTGTATATATATATATATTAGGGCTGTCAAATGATTAATCGCGATTAATCGCAACCAAAATAAAAGTTTGATTTTACATAATATATGTGGGTGCACTGTGTATAATTATTTTATATATATAAATACACACACATGCTTGTATATATTTAAGAAATATTTTCATGTATATACTGTATATATATATATATATATATATATATATATATATATATATATATATATATATATAATTTTTATTATATATAAATATAAATATTTTATATATAAATAATATTTTTTTCTTAAATATACATGCATGTGTGTGTATTTATATATATATACAAAATAATTATACACAGTGCACCCACATATATTATGTAAACACAAACTTTTATTTTGGATGCGATTAATCACGATTAATCATTTGACAGCCCTAATATATATATATATATATATATATATATACACACACACATGTGTATGTATATATATTATATATATATGTGTGTGTGTGTGTGTGTGTGTGTGTGTGTGTGTGTGTGTGTGTGTGTGTGTGTGTGTGTGTGTGTGTGTGTGTGTGTGTGTGTATGCATATGTATATATATATATGTGTATGTATGTGTATATATATATATATATATATATATATATATATATATATATATATATATATAACTTGAGACAGTTTCCTCCACAAATTCTCAATAACAATGCAAAAATAAATTGCATAAAGTAAATTATACTTAACATTTGTGTTACAAATGCACTTTATTATTCAATTAATCAAGTTTATTTGTTTGTTATGAATGAGATGTCTTTTTCGCATCAAGAAAAAGTCACATTGAGAAAAAAGGTCAAATATGACTTGTGCATTTCAGTTTTTGTGAGATTCACCCCTTCACACACATCTCGAACAGCCACTATAAAGTATAACTTTTAATTAACATTGTTATTTCAGATCAGTTCGCGTATAAAATGTTGAAAAAAGCATCACATCTGCTCGATGCCGTAGTGGTAAATTCAATGCGACGCGAAGAGCCTGTAACGTTGCAATTTACCGTAATAAGTTCCATCCCGCAATATAAGAGAACCCGAAAAGAAGGAGTTTTTATTGTACAATATAAGTGGGCCAAACGTTTTGTCGCTCTACCCTAAACTGAAGAGGTTGTTTGCACAGATATACTACCAACATTTTAATAAGTAGCAGATTTGTATTCGTATCTAATACATTCCAAAGATCGTCATTTTAGGAGAAAATACTGTTCATACTCTGTCTTCCCTTACTTCTGTTAGTTTACTCACATTTTTGAGGGACTGTTGAATGTTTTTCAGCTCCCAAAGATGAATCTGTGTATTTTACCAAAGGCCATCCTGCAAAGTTCAGCTCCAACCCTTATGAAACAAGCCTGGACCAGCTAAACAATGTGTTCAAGGTATAACAGGTAAGTGTGTTGGAGCTGGGTTGGAACTGAAGTCTGCGGGAAGGTTGTCTCCCAGACAGCAACATAGTGGCGGCCCGGATCCGGCCCACATCTGGTACGCGTTGAATCCACATGTGCCAGATGTGGGCTGACACTATGTTGCTGTCTGGGATACCCCCTGCCAACCCTAGAGCTTTTGGAAGTGTCCCGCAATGAATCGGGTAACCAATAGTTTTGCCAAATGTTGTTTCTTTAAACTGCTCATTGTCTGTCTCAAACTGATGTTTACACAAAGCTGGGTTAAAATCCAGTCCAGACCAGTTTGATCCCTGCTAACCAGCCCAGCCCAGGGGCGTGAAAACTGGTATAATATCATTTCTGGTCTTTTTTTTTTTTTTTTTTTCTTATTATGGTATTGACCACAAATGCTTTTAGAAAATGTATCAGCACTAATAAACTTATTATGAATATACTGTATTAATACAGCATATATGAGTGAATTTCACAAAAAAATGGTCAAGAACACCCCCAGGGACTGGATTCAGGAAGTTACGTTCTTAAGATTCTAAGAAGTTCGTAAGAATGTTCCTAAGTGCAATTCTTGAAAAATTCTTAAGTTCTCAAATATTTTTTTAAGAACATCTTTTTTTTTCTTAAAGGGATAGTTCACCCAAAAAAATTTAATTGTATAATCTTTGTATAAACTCACCCTCAAGTTGTTCCAACCCTGTATGGATTTCTTTCTTCTGAAACACAAAAGAAGATATTTTGAAGAATGTCAGAAACCAAACAGTTGAGCTCCGTTGACTTCCATAGTTTTTTTTTTTTCAACCTATGGAAAGTCAATGATTGTCTTAAGAACAATCTTAAGAAGAAAAAAAGATAAGAACATTCTTTAGAAAATATTTTGGTACAATATATTCTTATATATTTTTTTTCTAAAGTTAGAAAATAGCAGAACAATTTTATTCTTAAGAATGTTTCGTGAATCCGGCCCTAGGTTATATTTCGCTCAAAATTCTGAAAGACAACATTTCCCGAAATTCTCGAATTCAAAAATCTCTATATGTCGTGGCCACGAATTACTTTTACTAATTTGTTCCCTCTTTCTAAGTAAATCGTCTGCACATGGTAATAATTCATTCCCTTGTTTAACTAAATTGTGCCCACGTTGTAATCATTTGTTCCCTTGTTTTAGTTAAATCAAAACGAGGGAACGAATGAGTTCAACGTGATTTTTTTAATTCATGGCCATGATTTAACTAAAACAAGTCAGCAAATTCTTGGCCACCATTATATATATATATATATATATATATATAATGTAATTTCGTATATTTTTAAGTATTTATCATGGTTATATTTATTGTACTGCCTTAAATTTATGCTGATTTTAATTTTTAAAACATGTGTCCAGGTCACATGCTCATTTCCATCTGCCAAATTCTAATTACTGTAATGCAGCAAAAAAAAAAAATTGCTTTACGGTAATGAGAATTTGGGGATACTTAATTTCACAAAACAAAAACCCTTTTCTTTATGCAAAATATAAATTTCTTATTTTTTCTTTTGATTTTGTGGTGAAAAATGACATGGACTTGTTTGTGAGATTCACACACACACACACTCATGCTAAAAGAAACACAGTTTACATTAAAACGCTGTGTTGGGCTGTTTAACTAAGCACCAAAAGTCACTGTGTATCTGGAGGTGCTCAAGTTGGAATTTTCACGTGGCACTATTTGATAAAGTGTTTGTTAACTGTGTAAATGTTTGCTATTTTCATAATAATTTCACTGCAAAATAACAGAGTTCATCTGACAGATGTGAATTGTTGTTATTATTTGTTATGCGTGTGTGTGTGTTTTTTCCCTGGCTGTCTGAAGACAAATGATTAAAAATGAATTTATATACAAAAATAGAGTAATATAAGAAATCTTCTGTTCTGATTTGAATACAACAATGTGTATTGTTAAATCATAATGTGTTGTACACGTTTTTTTTTTTTTTTAATTTAAGTAAATTAATGAATTGTAAAGACTTATATGTGTCTGTCTATTTAAAAAAATATATATGTTCGCAATGATTTTGAGCTAAAAGCCTCCCATATGACAACATGAATTTGTTGTCATGTTGTTAAACAAATTAGCCAAATTCGGATTCAAGGATTCAACACCTGCCGGATCCGGATCTGGGATGCCTCTTCTTTGCAGTTAATTGAATCATTCTGTCAGAAACAAAAGAGGGACTACAACAGCTCCTCGACATCATAGAGTCACCATTCAGTCAAACATGGGCTCTTCAAATTAACCTAGCATTAACAAAAAATAATGATTTTTTCCTAAATAGATTCAGGTGTAGGGAAAATAAAGAGTCCTCCAACACTTTGCTTTTATTCAATTACATTTTGAGGTGAACTTATTCAAGACCTCTTGACCAGCTGGCACTACCTGCTATCTGCCACTAGACGGCACTGGGGTGAAGGGATTGAAGACACCAGATGGACATGTAGGAAATATATGCGACCTGTAAATCACGTGATACGGCTGGATCAACCAATAAATGCTTTGTGGTGGTTTTAAAAGGCTCTGTGGAGCGTGTAATAGGCTACACATAATCACAAACGTTATTTCCAGCAGAGGTTCAAGTCCCCAATTATTATCATCAAGTGCCTACAGCAGAGTCCTATTAATGTGCAAGAAAGGTTCTCGATGTCTGGGCTGTGCCTTCATGGAGGAATTTCCATCCATTTCAAGACATTCTGGCTGTCAATCTGTATTTACTTCAATCTTCACAAGACCACGGACATTCACATCTTTTAGGCCGCATTCCAAGTTGAAAAGCAACTTATATTTGTTTTTGTTTACTATTATGTTTAACTACATGATGCGCTAGTTTATTGATTATCTCAGACACAGGGGGAAATACGAATGATTACATTATACTGTAAAGAGTCAGTAGCTGTAACTGAAAACATGAAAACCATACTGAACTTTTGGAGAATCTTTAGAGAATGATAGTGTGTAATGACCATGTCTATTAAATGAAAGAAGTTTTCAAAATGTAAAATAATTATCATTAAAATAGTCCATGTTCCTCATCCTTGCTGCGGAAAAAAAATGCATAAACCAGCCTTTTCTTTGTACTCGGGTATAAATATTTTTGTTGAATTTTTACTTTCACTTCACGACAAAAAATAGATCACGTTACTTTTTCTACGCTACATTTCCCTGGAACCTTTTTGTTACATTTGCGACTGCAAATCATAAACATAACAGAAAGAAAATCTTTGCTGATCGATCATAGCGATCCATGTAGTTCACACATTCATTTTTGATCAAGTTTCGCAAATAAATGAATGAAGAATTTCGCGAATTACGACTCACGAGATCCGTAAAAAAAACTCAATCCGTGCCGGTCAGTCAGTAATAATCGCCAAAAAGCATGGC